GAGGCTCTTGCCCCGTGAGACCGGCTCCATTTTCCCCCGTGTGTTTTCAGAGGTGAGCAGCTGCTTCACTGTGACTGACGGGGTGGATTCAGCATTGGCTGCCTCTGGGTGGGACACCTCCCCTCTGCTGCTCTCCTCCTCGGGCTGGATGTGAGGCAGGGAGGACTTGAACCAGCTCTTCACCTTGGTCTCTGTGCCCACGGCAGGGCCCAGCAGGATGACAGACTGGCCGGAGAGGCGAGCAGCAGAAGCTGAGCTCTCCTTTTCCACCGCACTGACAGTCTCCTCAGCAGACACCGGCACATCACTGGAGGACAGCACGGCAGGTATCTCTGGGGGCTTTGGCGATGAGGCGTCATACGTCACCGACTTCTGCTCCGAGCTGGCCAGCTCACAAAGCGAGGAGTACTCCTCTGCCTCCAGGTCTGACTCCTTCAGCTCCGGCGAGGAGATGATGGGAATCTCACTGAAGTCCCCAGTCGAGCAGCAGTGCCGGGTGTCCTGCAGCCACCTCTCACTGTCCGCCTTTGTGGCCTCATCGTAGGTCAGTGTCTCTTCCTCTTCTTCCTCCATCGCCTGCTGGCTAAAGTCCTGGGCTGGCTCACTCTTGGCCTGCTGCTCACCATCACACAGATCCAAGCCACAGGCATTTTTTTTCTCCTTGCAGGAGCCCACCAGTTTGCTGGGGAACAAGCCCTTGGGGAGGTCGGTGGCTTGCAGCTCCTTCCACCTCAGGCAGGCCTCGCCCAGGCTCTCCTCTGGCCACTCGAAGGGCTCCATGGCGTTCTCAGACCCCCCTGAGTTAGCGGTGGTGTTGGAATAGCAGCTGTATCCGGCAGCTCCGGCGCTCGAGGTTGCCGCCGGGATGCTGGGCTTGGAGTTGAAGGTCAGCGAGGCAGTGTCCTTCAGTGCGTCCTTGTTCTTGGTGGCAGCAAACTCCACCTGCTGACCATCATACACCTCCTCACCAAAGTCCTTCCCCGTGCTGGCCCCTGAAGCCTTGTCCAGCTTGAGGGGTTCAGTGAGTGTGCTGGAGTCACCTTGGCTGGGCCAGGCACCCTTCAGCATGGAGTCCAGGCAGGGACGGTGGTTCTCCATCTGGAAAGGGGACTTGGTGGCTTCCTTGCTCAACATGGGTGAGTTGGCCCAGGCTTTGTCTCCCTTCTCACTGATGGCATCCTGCAGGACAATGATCTCAGAAGCCAGCTCCTCCTGGGACAGGGCACTGAGGAGCAGCCGGGGACAGTCCCGTTCATTGGTCACATACTTGGTGAAGGTGTCCAGGGGCAGGCTAGCGTGGATGCTCTGGAAGGAGTCATCTGATTTGGTAGACATGTCATCTGGGGAGGTCACAGAGCAGGTGGACACTGACTCAGGCTTTGCCTTGGAGTTGCTGTTTACGCGGGCAGGGCTGCGGTTCTGGTTGCAGTACAGGAAACTCCTCTCCAGCTGGTCCTCTGACCCGCTGAGATAATCTGCATCCTGTGTCTCAGCATGGACGGACTGGGGGGTGCTCAGTGGGTCGGATAGGGGGGTCCCTACCTGCTCCGCTGAGTAGGTGCTGCTCTCAGGGCTGCAGTGCTGCCCCTTGAGCTGCTCGGGAGTCCTCGCTGGGGTCTTGATGCCCTTTTTCTGGGGCACAGCTGCTTTGGAGAGCAGCAGCTGCTGGACGGTGTTGGAGATGTTCTCCACCTGGGAGGTGAGCGCCGTCAGGCTCTGCAGGCTTAGGTCCGACAGCAGGTTTTCAGGCAGCTTCTCCTTCTGCAAGTTTTTGCAGTTCCCAGATTGAGCATCAGGGCTCGTCCCGTC